TATTGGTCAAGAAATATGTCTTGGGTTTTCTTATACTTCATGTTCTTTCTGTTAATGTCTTAGTATTAGAAGTCCATAGTGGACTGTGTGAACACTGTCCTTGTTATTTAATAAGCTAGCTAGCAAAGAGGTGAATTTGGCAGGGGTCACTGGTTAACAGCTCACTAACCTATTGATAGAGCAAAACTAGCTGAATTTACCTGCAGCTTGAGCATGAATCACTGCATGTAAAAATAAAATCTCTATAGTGTGACGAAGCCATCAAAAAAGCCAATGGCACTTTATCGTGCATCAGCAGATGCATGACGAATAGGTCCAAGGAGGTGATATTTCCCCTCTATCGGGCGCTGGTCAGACCGCAGTTGGAGTACTGCGTGCAGTTCTGGGCGCCGCACTTCAAGAGGGATGCGGATAACCTGGAGAGGGTCCAGAGAAGGGCCACTCGTATGGTTAAGGGCCTACAGACCAAGCCTTACGAGGAGAGACTAGAGAAACTGGATCTATTCAGCCTCCGCAAGCGAAGGTTGAGAGGCGACCTTGTGGCTGCCTATAAGTTCATCACGGGGGCACAGAAGGGAATTGGTGAGTATTTATTCACCAAGGCGCCCCCGGGGGTTACAAGAAATAATGGCCACAAGCTAGCAGAGAGCAGATTTAGATTGGACATTAGGAAGAACTTCTTCACAGTTCGAGTGGCCAAGGTCTGGAACGGGCTCCCAAGGGAGGTGGTGCTCTCCCCTACCCTGGGGGTCTTCAAGAGGAGGTTAGATAGGCATCTAGCTGGGGTCATCTAGCCCCAGCACTCTTCCCTGCCTATGCCTTTCCTGCTTATGCAGGGGGTCGGACTCGATGATCTATTGAGGTCCCTTCCGACCCTAACATCTATGAATCTATGAATCTATAGGCAAAGACTCTCATCCCTCCTTTAGTCCTCAAGCTTTGATCCCGGGGAGTCATTTAGGAAAAATTGCAAGAGAACTACAATTTTACGATTCTTTTCAAAACCCTGCATGCGAGAGACATGACCTTTCAGTCTGGTCTTCTAATATTTGCTTTGGTTTTTTCCATTCACTGAGAACAAAGTTCATCTTTCAGTAATAAGTAATAATATTACAGCTTATAAGTGTTTAATGCCTCCACCCTAGTCTGTCTCAGCTTTCTCTTTCTATACAGCTGGAAAAAAGACGATGCCTGATCATTTATGCAGAATGTGAAACAAAAATCCCATCTCCTAGTCTAAGTAATTTTCTTATGCGGAGAAAAAAACACCTCTTTCCTTTATTCCGCTAGGTGGCTCTGCACTTGAAACAGTTGGTATGACAGACCCTGGTTACTGGAAAGGTTTGAGAATAAACAGGAAAAGTGTCCCTTTGGGTGCGTATCCTGTTTGATGTCTGTTGGGATTTCAAATAAGTTGTTGCTATGATTATTGGTAGCTCTGACTTGTCTGTGCACTCAGAATGGCTCGATGCTGCAGAAGTCACTGCTGCAGAAGCTCCAGGGCAGGCGTGCAGCATGAAGTCAGAGGCGTGTGGGTTTGTTACCTGCAGATCCTGGCTTTCATTTATTTGGCTGGACAAGCTCCCCTTTAAATGCTCTGCTGCATTCTTTTTCTCCCCCCCAAGAGACACTGAGACAGAGCAACTACGTGTCTTGGAAACTGGTTCTGTCCTGTTGTTGTGCCATCGTGTATCCGCAGTTTTCGCATACAGGTTGTTCACAATTCTCTGCTTGAATTTCAATGGTGAATATTTACAGTGGTGCAAACCTAATTTTGAAGTGTCACTAGCATGGCAACTCACTGAAAGGTCCTGTTGAAACTCAGGCTATTAATTTGTCCATGCAAATGCTAGATTTGAACGTTGTCTTTAAAAATCAGGGCTTTAACCTCTATAGGCAATGGGCAGTCTTATGATTCTTGAAGACAGATTTCACTGTGATCTAAAAGCACTGTAAGCAGGATCACTTTGTTTAGCATATTATATTGACCAATAACAGGCATCCCTGCACCCCTGGGGTGGATCCAAACCATTGGGCTCTCACTGGGATTTTGGAAGGAATTCAGAATTCATGGCCCCTCTGGGAGCACAGCAGGCCACACAAAACAGTTCTGCAGGCCAGATATAGCCCACAGGCCATGTTTGACACCCCTGACCTGTAATACTTAATTGTTTTAAGACACAAATATATATACAGCTCGCATTTAGATGTCTTGCCATCGTTAGCAGAAACTGGTAAGAAAAGCATAGTTGCCTAAGTGTGAAGTCAGCAGTGTAGCCCCAAGTTCAAATTTCCAGTACTGTGTTCCCTATAACTTACTTTGTAGGTTTTTTTTTCTGGTGAGATCCTAAAAACTGAGGGATAGCTGACTCTGAACATTAAAAAACCAGTGATACTTCTCATCAGAGCAAGGGTTTGTCCCAAGGCCTTTGCCACAAGTTCCTGTCTTTTTAGGGTGCTGTCTGCTGAGGGATGCTGCGCTCCACCATAGGAATGGATGCAATCAAGTAATGTTGAAGGTATATGTATTGCAGCGCATTTTGGAGATAAATGGCACTGTCTACGTTCTTATATGGAATGAAGTCTGACAGCTACTTTGACCTTTCATGCGGGTCTGTGCTGAGGAGCTTTAATAAATGTGAAACCGATTCTGTATTTGAGTTTCAGGTATTTCTTTGGCTACCCGTGCTTTAGCAGCAATTCCAAAATGGTTTATTATAGGAGTGCATGTCAACTCCAAGGTATATGCGTCTCCCAGACTCAAGACAGGAAACTTATTAGTACGGGTGTGCATTCACCTCTTTGAGATGTTGTGAGAGTGGGCCTACCCTGCCCTTTCTCACTACTTCTCAAGAGTCTTCTGCAGACATGGAGTTCAGATTGCAAAAGAACTGAAGCAGAGTTACAGTGGCCTCTCCCTTTGCCCCCATGCACAGGAGTGCAAGGAGGCATGGGGTGAATGCATAACCCTACCGGATACGGCTACTCAGAAAAAACACTGAGTTCATGAAAATGGAGCACATATGTGTCTACAGTGGCATCCACACTGACTACATAACAGTGAGTCTTCAACATGTTGGTATGGTAACAACCCTTTTTTTTTTTTATGAAAAGGCTTCTACCCATCCAGGATGCCTGTTAACATTCAAGAAAAATGAGGGAGAAAGCATTTTATTTGTGGTTTTAGACTGCAGATTGTACAGTTTTTACATGCTGTTCTGTTAATTTCTGCAGGCTATATTTAGTTGTGCTTGATTGCTATAAAGATGCCATTATACATTTGAGCTAGAATTTTTGTCTTTCTTTGCAGGAGGAGATGCGGACAGAAGCCCGTCGAAAAAATCTTCTCATTCTCATTTTGCATTATTTAACAGAGGAAGGGTATGTTATCACAAGTGTAATATTGCGTGTGTGTTTGTGTGTGCACGGCTACTTATATGATATGCACTTAAACCCTCTACTGGATAGAAGAGGCTGGCCCTAATTGAGATGTTGCCCTGAAGCGGCTGCACTGTGTACAGAAGACATAAATCCTAATACTACTAAATGACATGAACATTGACTTTTTAGATGTATTTTTTATATATGTTCCAGAAAGAGCTGCTTAAAATATTTTTAAATGATCAGCTGAAACCACTCATTCAGCATAGTCACTGTGTTCCCAGCACTGCTCAAGCCTTCCTCTCTGCCCAGGTATCCCCACTTAGCTCACCCATCACACCCCACCACATCAGTGGGCAGGTAGGTCTCAGCAGACTGTGTGTCTCGCTGACAGGGCACAGCACCATTCTTATCTAAGGCTTCACTGGGTATCCTGACACCCAGCTTCCTACAGTTGGCCTTCTTTTCTGGAATGTCCTTTAGGATTTTCTCTCTATCCTTGCTGGACTTATTTTCATCTCTTACAGTCTCTGATTCTCTGCTGGGTCTTTCCCCAGTTCAATCCCTTCTCCTCAACCTTCCCATATCCTTTTGGATAGGCCCTAAATAAACCTGGCCTTCTTTAGAGCCCGTTTAGCCTTAGTCCGTTTTCCCCCAAGCCTAATTACTGTCCATTCCCTGAGCCAGTCCTTTCCAACAAGTTTTATTCCCCTCTGTCAGAGCACTTCTGCCTCTCACTGCTGAGCCCCACTGCCCTCCCTCTGCCTTATATTCTGCATAGGGCTTCCAGTTCCTTGTCTGTTTTCTCTCTCTTACCCCTTTTCTTTCTTTCTTGTAACAGATACTAAAGGGGCCCTTTTACATTGGCATGGATTTTTTTTCTAATTTGGTTTGTGCATGTCATAACATGTGACAGGCCCCAAAGGATTATTGAAAAGCATTTAATTACTAACCTCAGGAATGACAAGTTAAGTCTTTTGTTCTTGCTGGAGGGCTTCTGGTCCAGAGGTGTAACAGGTCAGCTCTGCACCCCAGGCAGCAGGCAAATTGGCAGTAGTAGTAGCTGCTATTTTTGTGCGCCCTCATGTATCACCCTGATTATCCCCCCCTGAGCTACACTACTGTTCTGGTCTCAAGATGGGAATCGTGAGTCTTTATACCTTATCCAAAAGGGTCAGGTTTTGAATTTTTCACAAAGATCATCTTTTTCTCTCAGGTTTGCTTCAATCAGGGTGGGCAAAATACAGCCCACAGGCTGGATCCAGCCCGCCAAGAGATTTTGTCCAGCCTGCAGTAGATCCCTCAGTCCTACCCAGCCCAGGTGTGGGGGGGCAGCTTGGGCCATGGCATGTGCAGTTGGTCCCAGCGCCCCTGGCTGCACAGCGGAGCTGGGGCAGCGTGGCAGCCAGACTCGCTTCCTGGCAAGCCCAGGCGCG